GATCATTGGGGCACAAATGAGGTAAAGATGAGGAGAAAACAAGTTGACAGAGAAACGCACATAGCAGAAAAAATGCAAGTTTTCCAATGCCCATTTTCGCACCTCAAAATATATATCAAAATTACTAAGTAAGTTTTCCAATTCTTGCTTTGTGTCTCTATTCAATAATTTTGATGAGGTTTATATAGCACATAGCAAAAGACAATTTTCTATTAATTTCCGATTGTCATAAGTCTATAGAGCTTCTTCTGATAAATATTTAGTGGAGTTAGTCGTATAGTCTTTGGTGATGTTCCAATGAAAAAAACTGTTGGTGGATAGACCTTGACCAAAACATTTTCCAATTTTATTTTGATTGGTTAGGATATGAGTGTTGGATGTTGTACAGACCTTGACTTTCATTCAAGTAAACATATCCAAGTTGGTTTGGTCATATGCACAAAAACATTAATGTTAATAAATTTTATTTTTATTTTTAAAAAAGAACTCATCTAGAGGTATATATGAACGCTCCAGCAAAATTCAGGATATATTTGATCTTTCTTGATTTTTTTTATTCGACACTTAGTTTGATATCGTTGTTATAGATTTATTTGCTTATCACTATTTGAGTCTCTTATTCTTATCTAATTTTTTCCCTTTCATTTTTAGTGTAAAAATATGAGAACAAAAAAATAATGTGAATGGAAAAAGAGGAAAAAGTAAAAAAAAATAAAAAATTAAAACTATTTTCTGCGGTTATATTGTTACTTAAATTTTGTATCCGTAAAAAAAATAAATTGGATGGCTACATAAACATTTATACTTTGCTTTTTCTTTATGAAACAGAGGAATAATGAAATATCAGTATTGGTGTCTAGTACTGCCGAAAGCAGAGGTTTTTTCATCTTCCTTTTGCTGATCCGCAGTGTAATAAAATTCCCTTCCGTCCAAAAAGAATTTTGCTCCACGCGGACAGGTCATAGAGTGAGTTGTATGGATATCTGTAAAATCGGATTCAGAAACGAGAGAATCCACTTGTCATATGAACTTAAAATACCTCTTTGTACCTTAAAAACAAAGTATTGCACTTTCTACGTAATTTTGACAAGAAGCAGTTTGTTGGGCGAATTCACAATCTTAACTTGAGGTCATGCTACTAACTTTTTACCAAGAAGTGTTCAATAAGAAAATTGAAGCTCAAATGTTTATATGCATTAACTGAACTTTGCAGTCGAATCCAATTAGCTAACTAATAATAACACTGAATATGTAACAAACTATTGATAAATGAAAACTAATGCCTGTATACATAGGAAAATGTTGGATTTTAAAAGGTGTGAATGGAAAATGAAGAGTTGCGACTTTTACGAAGAGTTGTGACTTTGATGAAAAGTTGCGACTTTTATGAAGAGTTGCGACTTTTATGAAGAGTTGTGACTTTTATGAAAAGTTGCGACTTTTATGAAAAGTTGTGACTTTTATGAAAAGTTGTGACTTTTATGAAAGGTGGTGACCTTTCCGAAAGATTGTGACTTTTTCAAAGGTTTGTGACCTTTCCGGTAAGGCACAATAAGAACCTTTTCACACTACCATTTGTGTTCTATAAATTGAGGGATTTCCTCTCATTTTAAGAACAGAATTTTTCTGAATTTCTTCTACTACTAAATCTAGTATTCAAAGTGTACTTTACTGCCGTTGAGTGGTTCCCTGACACCGTGGTTTTAGGTACCGATACACCGGTGAATAAGATCGTTCTATCCTGGTAGGATATATTCCGTTAACCTCGGGTACTTGAGGGGAATAATTTCCTTAAGGAGACACTGTGCATTCAATGGGCTCGATTTTTTTTCTTTGAGAAAAATATTTTTATATTGTTTCTAATCAGTTTCTGATTCTATTTTCTCTGCTAGTCTTAATTTTCTAGTTTTGAAAATACTCTTTAAACTTTGTTGTTTCTTATCAAGTTTTTTTTTAAGTTTTGTTCTAAGTATCTTAGGAAAACAAGATGAACAACAAAAAATACACTCTTCAAAAACATCACAAACTAGGAAAGTAAAAGCTTTTATTTGCATCACACTAATATTTTCTCTTGTGCCTTTTCATTCTCGTAATAATTCTGTGTTCCAATTTTAAGGTTCCGGAACGTGCAATAGCAGCATTTGATGTTGAATTTGAAAAAATCAAAATTATTACATTGTGGAATGCATCTCACTAAGTGTACTCGTACGAGTTGATAGAGGTGAATGGTAAATTAGCAGTCATAAATTATGGAGCGGTAAGTGGATACATTGACTATTGGATTTTAAAGGAGACTCCGGAAAGAGAATCATGTGTTTTATAGTTGTTATGATATCATCAGAAAGAACTGGAGGAAATTAGGAATCACGCATCCAAGACATTTATAGTTATGTGGAGGCTTTAGATCGCCGCATTCAGTGTTAAGAGTCTCATATACGGATAGTAATTAAGATGATCTATGATTGTGAGTTCCGGTATATGGGATTTGTTAATTTTAAAAAAATCTTAAGATTTTTAGCATGTTCTGTTTTATTGTCAAATATCTATACATCAGTATGAATATGAACCGGAATTATAGGACTGAATTAGGATCAACCATCACACAAAAAGACCATGTTACCCAGATAAGTCTTGCTATGTTTAACGAACACTTTATGAAACATCACAAACTATGAAACAAAACACAAACACTTTATGAAACATCACAAACTATGCAACAAAACACAAACACTTTATGCAACATCACAAACTATGAAATTAAAAGCTTTTATTCGCATCCCAGCAAAGCAGTGAACTTGAATCCTGCAATTTTTTCAAAAATGAAGAATTAAAGTTAAAAGCTTTAGCGATGAAGGAAGTAGAAAATTTATGGATATATAAAATGTAATCTTCTGAAGGATAGAGCTTAAGTCGAATACCTGGAGGTTACACACTAATGTCTTTTCTTGTGCCTTCTCATTCTCGTAACAATTATATGTTCCAATTCTACATCCATCCTTGAAAACCATGCTGGATATTGAGTTGACAACATTGTGTATATTATGGACAGTCCAATAACAAATCCACAACCGTAACCCATGAGAACGGCCTGCCAACTTATAATTGCCGAATCTCCTTCTTCTTCTTCTTGATCTAGCCCATATATGGCATCAATGTGACAACTGTGGACATAATAAGACAGAACAAGGGAAAAGAACACACAACTACTCAAAATAAATATCTGTTTATACTTCTATTGGAATACTAACTAATTGATCAGTACGAGTAAGTATTTACCCTATTTAGTTCTAAAGGCGAGTATCATATAGCCTTGATATCGAGATGCAAGAAACAAAACACAAGAACTGCAAAATTTCTCAATTGGAAAGAGACTAAATATCTACATAACTATAAATATTTCTAACACAACTCTCTTTAGGAAGCCCCTTGATTTCTAATTTTCTCCAACTCTGTCGTGAGACATCATAACAAAGACATAAAGTACCCGACTTTAAGTTCACGGTGAATAAAATCACTCCGTCACAGGACGTGCATGATGATGTGACTTTGGGTTGTATGTCCTTCCACATTGAAGGGAAGTGAATTTTGTCCCACCAGGACGGAGCTGCAGCTGTCATGGTTGGTTTTGCTGGCATTAACATCCCTTCAGTAGCAAGTATTGAACTACAAAATGGGAAAATTCAGTCCACAGATCAGGATCTTTTGCTCTTTTGCACCCGAGTGTGTTATGACATCCACAATGTTAGGTCGGTATAGGTGTGTGCAGATAACAATTAAAATTGTATACTTGAAATGTGTAAAAGACTTGACATCATTCGTCTCTTATTACATCTTATATTATTATTTTTACAGCTCAAATCATTAAAACTGATCCAATTATGAAAATATTTAACAGAGCAGTAGAAAATTCTCTCCGGTGATGACCTTATCTCCGATTTAAACATCGGGAGCGAATCCATCTGCTGAAGGTGTTGATGATGAAACCGTCAAGGTTGTTGATATTGTTGAAATTTCAGGAGCAACCTTCATTTGACAAGAAGCAGTTTGTTAGGCGGATCCACAATATTAACATGAGGTCATTCTAGTTAATTTTGGATCCGCCTCTGGTTAGATACATAAATTATGTAGTATCTAATTCGCAAGGCAAACATTTAGATAATATAAGTTCTGTAGGAATAAACTATGCCTTTGTAATATATAACTTCTGCCTTGCGTATTTTGTTTCAAAAGGAGCTAGAGCTTGTTCAGATAAACATGTTGCATAAGAAAGAAGCTTATTATCTGTAAAGATGAAGAAATAATCATCAATTTGATCCAAGCTCTGCTATTGAGAATGACTTATTTAATTAGTTTCCCAAGTATAGTGCTTGCTACGTGCTCTGTATTTTTAACTACTTGCTGTAACAGAACATCTAGTACTCCTATGAGCTAATCCCTTTACTGGTTTCGAGCATAAGCTCAAGAACGCGTCTATTTCCTAGATCTTTATTTTCCTTTAGGCAAGAATCTTTATCTTACTCTTTTACCTGGTTCTAAAAGAGCCTGTCTGTCTCAGAAATTCAGTTCGTTACAAAGAAAATTATTAGTTCAATGTATGAAGGCTAATTCTGATATCAACTTTTTTGCTCTTATTACCTAACTGATTAATTACATAAAATAAGTATACTATAGATAATTGAAGTAAAGTTTGGTTGAGTCGCAACAGAAGAAAACTAATGCTGTCTTTATTTGCTATGATGGTTAACAAGCAGGTTTGCACATGGAAATGCTATGATTTCTTCCCTAGCATTAACGATGTAAGTCAACATGGGAGTAAAAGGGGCTGCAACCAAATGAGTTTTGTCGATTTCGGGTTCCCTTTTGATCCCTTTGCATTCTATGAAATTCTATGGTTATTCCTCGCAACTGAATATGCTGAATTTGTTGAGTCACAACAGAACAAAGCTGGAACATATAAAATGTAACAGACACTTGACGAAACGAAAAAGAAACTCTTTATGAAACATCACATACTATGAAAGTAAGAGCTTTTATTCGCATCCCAGCAATGCAATGGACTTGAATCCTACTAATTCAAAAATGAAAAATTAAAGTTAAAAGCGTTAACGATGAAGGAGAAAATTTGGGGATATATAAAATGTTATCTTCTGAAGGATAGAGATTAAGTTGAATACCTCGAGGTTACACACTATACTAATTTCTTTTCTTGTGCCCTTTCATTCTCTCAAGAATTTTGTGTTCCAATTCTACATCCATCCTCGAAAACCATGCTGGATATTGAGTTGACAGCATTATGTATATTATGGACAGTCCAATAACAAGTCCACAACCGTAACCCATTAGAACCGCCTGCCAATTTATAATTTCTGAATCTCCTTCTTCTTCTTCTTCTTCTTCTTCTTCTTCATCTAGCTCAATGGGATTCGTTGTTTGTGGTATCCCTTCATCACCACCACAATCTTTTGAGAGTGGCAATCCACGTAACCCATCATTTCCTTGGTATGAACTATTCTCAAATGTATCAAATTGTTTTCCTTTGGGGATGCATCCAACAAGATGATTGTGAGAGAGATTTAAGACTGCAAGAAATGTGAGGGATGCAAGTTGTTGTGGAATTTCTCCACTGATTTTGTTTAATGAGAGCTCCAATGATTCAAGTACAGATAATTGGTGCAGTGATGCTGGTATCTGACCTTCCAAGCGATTATGCGATAAGTTCAACGTACGAAGCCCAACGAGATCTCCAATAATGCTTGGGATATGACCTTCAAATCTGTTGTTAGAGAGATTTATGATTATGTTTGTAGTCAAAACTCGAGGAAGTTCTAGCTCCAGTCCCTTTGTTGTCACTATAAAGGAACTTGTGTAATAAACAGAAAGAATATCTGCTACATACTCTCGGGTTCCACTGTTCTTACCAATCATTTTCATGGCTTTAAAATTCTCAAAAAGGCTCACTGGTAAATCTCCACTAAATCTATTGGATGAGAGATCTATGACTCAAATTTGAGCAAACAAGTTGTCAGTCCTTGAATCTTTTATAGGGCCATAAAACTTATTTGATCTCAAGTTCAAAATCTGCAACTCAGGTAGGGCTCCCAACCATTTAGGAAATATGTCACTCAACTCATTGTTACCTAAATCAAGAACTTTCAAATATTTGCAATTGGTTTCCTATACTAAAATTAGTATTAATTGTCCCGCTAAGACTATTGTTGCTTAAATCCAAAACCGAAAGTTCACTCATCTCACCCAAACATAGTGGGATTGTTCCCTCCAAATTATTGCTACCCAAATCTAGCAGTAACAGTATTGTCAGATTGCAGATGGTTGAAGCGATTTTTACTTTTTTTTATAAAAATATAGGGAAACACTTAAAAAGAAATTTTTACTTTTTTTAATAAAAAAATCAATGATCATCCGACAATTTTAATTTTTTTACAATAATTAACGGATGAATGTCGATTTTTAAAATGCAAATTGCAGTTGAATAACATATATAGAAATAAAGAAATCATAAAATTAGTATTTTTGTGTTAAATGGTACATAAAAGAAGTAAAGTTGAAGGGTAATCTTTTATTATTTTTTTAAAAAATACTTTTTTTTGTCTTTTACTCACTTAGAGAAAGTGTGATGCACACACTCTGCCACATCACTAAGAAGTGCCAAAATAGAACATAAAAATTGGAGTTGAAGGGTTATAATGGAACAAGGTTGAGTTGGAGTGCCAAAATGAAAATTAGGGACAAGTTTAAGGGTCTGCATATGTGTTTGGCCTTTGTGTAACCATAGGGATATATATATGATCAACTTTTATAATGAGGGGTATATAAAATCTAAAATAATAAAGTTGAGGGGTATATGAAATTATTCTTTTCTCTTCTACCAATTTAAGTTTCGAGAGCAAAAAAGAAAAGTTTTGTAAGAGTAGATGTTGATGTTTTGTCCTTGACAAAAACGATTAAGTTGAAAATTCAAAAAAAAAAAAAAACTTATTTAGTTAGGATAAAAGTGTTAAATGGTGTAAAGACCTTGACTTAAAGGTAAATAATAAATCTAGTCAAAACCACTTCAAATTTTGGTGGGACTGATTCATTAAGTCCAGATAAACAAATATTGTGAACCACAAATTAAGCAAGGAAAAATCTACCACCGCTAATCAATTCCAAGAAGCTCATTCAGTCACTTTCAATCAACTTTTGAGTTGTCAATAACGTATCACATTTTCTAGTGAAATTCCATTGAATAATCTTGTTTAGACTATTATGAAAACAATTGTAATAATACAATTTTATTTGATACATTATTAGTTTTAAAACGTCATAATCCCAACTTTCTACAAGTAGTTCAGACCCACATTGTTACGCATTATTAATCTCATTTGTCAAATTTGTACCATCACACATAATGCAGAAAAATTCACATTGAGAATATTATGTCTAACAATAAGAAATAGTTATTAAATCAATTAAAGTCTTAGAGAAAGAAAAGTGAAGGGAGCTTTGGAACATCACTTAAGTGTCTCTGCGTGACGTCTAGGTCACGTATTTAAACTTATTAGACTCTGCTAATGCGGAATTGCTTTGTGCACCGGATAACCTCTTCTTTTTTAGAGGAGAAACAAAACACTATAAGAATGATAATCGGTGTATAGACTTTGACAAAAAAAAAATTGTAACCATCCCAATGTGTGTGAAGGTCATTTAATCTAATAGTAGTCAAGTAAGAAATAATTATTTTATCTATTAAAATTTTTAGAGAAAAAAAGAAGAAGATGAAAAGTCTATAAGAGTATTAATTGATGTATAGACTTTGTTAAAAACATCATCAAGTTTAAAATTCAAAAAAGTTTAATTAGTCAAAATAAGATCAGTAATAATTGGTGTATAGACCGTGAGAAAAAAATATTTCAAGTCAAAATTCCGAAACAATAGTGATAGGTTAGGATAAAAGTGTTGGTTGGTGTATAGACCTTTAACTTCCAAGTCAAAAATGCCAATTTTTTTTCTTTTATGATAATCTAGAATGGGATTTGATAATTTTAGTGTGTTCTTTTAATTTTGGAGATAAAATAAGAATGCTTCAATGTTATGTTTGTTGGGTGTACAAATAAAGTCCTGCATAAGAAGTTGATAAGAAGAAGATTTGTTAAGAGTAGTGATCTCAAGTCAATGCACAAGTCATTGCACAAGAATGACTTGAGAATATTAGCTTTAACAATTGAGGAAAATTATCTAATCAATCTACATTAGGAAAAGCCATAAATACCCCTTGAATTATGATTGAAATTTAAAGATACGCTTTATATTTACAGGGCTTCTATCATCCCCCCTCCCCCCCCCCCCCCCACAAACTTTTTTCCTTTATATTTTTTTTCACCTTATTTGCTGGCGTTGAGCCGCAACTCAATTCAATTAGTTGCAGTGTTATACACGCGACACCACATGTATATATGTTTTTTTTAAAAATATATATTTTTATATTCTTTGCCTAATATATAAAGTAAGTTAATATACATACTATGTTTTTTTTTTCTTTGCCTTGAATTTAAAACTTTTTCAAACACACGCAATTTTTTTTCTTTTCATTTTTTACCTTCTTTCATTGGTTTCTATTTATTTTATTTTCAATGTCTTTGCTTTGAATTTGATTTCAAATTTAATTCCAAATTTCTAATATTTAATATAAGTTAATTTTGGACAGATGCCAAAGACGGAAGGAAATCAAATAAAGCATAAAAAGATTAAAGCGTTAAAAATAAAATGATACTTTTTTTAAAAAAAAAAATTACACGTAATTGAGAATATCAGTTTTAACAATAGGAAACAATTATTTAGTTAATTTAAATTCTTCTCAAAGCCACCGTCGAATAGTATTAATTAGTGTATATGCCTTGACAAAAAAAATTCACGCCAATAAATTAAAAAGAGTTCAATTAGTTAGGATACGAATATATTGATTGATGTATAGACCTTGACAATAAAATTTCAAATAAAAAATCCTTTAAAATTTTTGATTGGTTGGGATAAGAGTGTTACTTGGTGTATGGAACTTGACCTAAAGGTAAAGATTCCTAAAACTTTTGATTAGCTCGGATAAGAGTATTTCTTGGTGTATAGACCTTGAAAAAACATATCAAGTCAAAAATTATTTTTTATTTGATTAGTTAGAATATATATATATATATAAAAGAGTGTTATTTGGTTTATACACTTGATTGAATATTAACTTAACTATGATCAAACTTATATTCTAATAGTACTTCTAATGAATTTACATATTCCCAAATTAATGCACGAGTCATTGCAAAAGAAAAGTTCAAATAAAAGCTACAAAAGAAAAATTCTATCACTTATAATGCATTTTGTTTGATATTTTAGTATATATTAGACGAAAATTTCACAATTTTCAAGTCTCAGCAAGTAGTCCTGGTCCAATTATTACACATTATTAGTCTTACCAAAGTATATACAATATTACATAACGTAGTATAATGCATCGTGGAGATTAACTTTAATTTAATGGTAGTCAAGTAGGAAATAATTAGTTAATCAGTTAATTTTTTAGAAGAAAAACAAAAAAGAAGAAAAGTCTATAACAGTATATGGTGATGTATGGGCATTGACAAAACAATTGATTTGAAAATTCAAAAAAAAAGTTTGTTTAGTTAAGATAAGAGTGTTAGCTATGTATGCACCTTGACTTGAAAGGTAAAAAAGAAATTCCATAAAAAAATATCACTTCAATTTTTTTATGGGACTGATTCATTAAGTCCAGATAGACAAATACCGTAAACCACCAATAGATGTGATGAATTGAATGTAATTTTAATGAGGTATATTGTGAACCGCAAATTAAACAAAGAAAAATCTACTATTGTCCCACTAGGACGGGTCATAGAACGACAATTATGGCTATCCACAAAATTTGAATAGAATACAAGAGAATTGCAGGATCTGGAAATGTACACGCATTAACGACTTAACAGAAAGTCATGAGAATATTTCAAACATTATTTCGTGAGGAATTGATACTTTTTTCCGACAAAATTCATCTTCTAACTGCCGGCTAAACTTTTTGCCTCTCCATTTCCTTATAACATTAGAGTTAGGATTGTACGTTTTTAATTTGGTTGTTTGTTTTAAAATCCTAGACACAATATTGCAAGTAATTCTCTGGACTTTTAAAACAAATAATTAGTTTCAAGATTATTTATCTCACCATTTACACTAAAATGACAGATAAGATGTCACACCCCAAATCCGGATGTCCATTTCCCACCGGACACGTCAGCCTAACCCAACCACAACGATAGAGAAGTAGAAATACGAGAATAAAAGATAATAAATAAGCGGAAGACTTTAATTAAGACTCAACACTACCCAGAATTTGGTTGTCACATGTACAAACCTCTAAATACAAAATTCAAATAAAAATATACAAGTCTCAGAGTATAGTTCTCGAATAGAACAAAACTGAAAGTAAAGATAACTCAAGGGCACGTCTGGAATGAACCG